GGTTAAACATTGATTTGTTTCTCAACTGCGTTGGCGAGTACCTGTGGTTGTGGAACGCTCCCATTTTACAGTGAAATTCCACACATAACTCTTACTTGAACAATGCTTACTTAGGAGATAATGAGATGAGTTATATATAAGATTCTGTAGTGTACATTATGAATAGTTGGAATAGTCGCTAGTACTCAAATAATTACCCAGGAGTCACTACGCACAACTTAAATGTTACGTTTATAACCGTAGCAACAGACCTCAGATGAGCCCAGATGCTCTGCGGCTCTTGTTACAATCGCTGGGATGTATTAAGATTGCTTTTGTTCTGGCCTACTGTATAAGCTGTATATTTCGCGGTGATTTAATTTTCGCGAATTTCGCGAACGCGTCACCGACGCGAAAATAACAACACGCGAATAATTCATACCGAATAATTCATAATTCACCGACCGCAAAATTAACCACTCGCGAAGTCTGAATTCGCGAAAACATCTGTACGCGAAAAATATGGCGTATACAGCATTTAAAACATTCTCGACGTTGCTCGTGTTGTAGAAGCGTGGCAGCGAAGAAAAGAGTGGCAGTCCTGCGAAACGCTCGAGGAAGCTGGCTAGCAGATCTCCCGTAGTCGCTCTGCTAGACGTGACGGAGAGCGACGAGGAAACCTTCTACTACACTCTGCCGCAGAGCCGACCGCAGCTGATGCGGCTGCAGCACACAGACCTACCTGTCACGTTCAGTAATGTATCTGATGTTTATGTTTTCTACCACCAGGTGTCAGTAGTAGTACCACCACGGCCATAATGTAATGCAACGCAGAATGAATATTGTCAACTTTATCTACAATCATCTGCTTATCTATTCACCATAACCATCACCAGATGCGTGTTCAACAGCGCGAACGCTCGCGTGCGCTTGCTTTCTAAATGACACCGCGCGGTCGAGCGCGCGCGAGTTGTTTTCAAGATGGCGACAGGCAATATGGTGAATGCGAATCTAACACTTCTGACTTCAATTTCACTCTGTTTCAACTTCATTTCATTTTTCAATCATTCATTCACTTCTAAATTCAATTCATATCAATTTCGTCTGCTAATTCGTTTAACAGTATTTGTTCGAAGACATTAAAATCTCGCGATTAAATCTGCTGAAGAAGCCGCCATCTTGGATAAAGCGAGCGCTCGGTGCATAGCTCGGTGTCGTTCAAGTGGCGCTGCGTTCGTGCTGCGAGCGTTCGCGCTGTTGAACACGGATCAGAAAATGCTACACTACCCCTCCCCCCAAGCACGCCATGTGCCACACAAGCACGTATGTCACTCGCCAACCTCCGCTCCTCTGTTATGGTCACCTCAGCGCAGCTACAAGGTGAGGGCAAAGATCAAGCAGGCAGTGAGTACGTACGTGAGTATTCGCTTAGCTTTGTTATGTTTGATTTTGAGTTACATATACACTTCTAGTGCATACCTATGAAGCACCTATGCAGGAAATGTTTATTTTCATTAAAGAGGGGAGATGTTATGATATATGACCGCCAGATGTCGCGTCGAGAACAACGTGTGTGTCGCGTGGTATGCACGCATGGTGTGGGAGCATTCCGGTTATTCAAAAATGATATCTGCGTTGACTATGCACATGTTTGAGCATCAAACATAACAGGCTTACCCTAAGTCTAAGTCCAAGTCTAGGGTATAGTGTCCCTTCAGTCTATGGTTGGACTGCATATACAGTCTATAGTATATATATATATATATATATATATATATATATATATATATACCCTATTAATGGGTACATTATGACAAGTGGATCGTCTGAACAGTGGGTCATTAATGATTATATTTGTTGGTGGTGTGTGGTAGCAGGAGCACATCAAATATGTGATTCTGGTGGTAATAAGTACTTTCCGAATTGCATACATTTCATGGTAAAATAGTTATGTTTTATTTTATTTATTTTTTAATATTCAGAACCCAACTAAGCCTTTAGAGTTTTTTTACAGAGCAAAATGATTTGCAAACTTTTAACATTTGTACTCGTGGTTATTAAATCGCGCCAATTCACCAAGGCATCATACCGATAATCTACACATTTCTATATAAACTGAATAGTGTTACTACATATACTAGATTTTAAATTGCAATGAAACGTCTGCCAACACGTGCAACAATTAGAACATAGATCTACCAAGTATTAATAATATCTTCTGGGTTATCGCATCTCCGATACTACATGGGTTTCCTCAGTTAACACGCTTAGTGTCGCCTACGTTGCCTTGGTCTAACGTGTGCCCTGACAAATTCTATGAGACTCGGAGGCAGCCTGTTCTCGTATGCAACGCTGTGTCTGACGATAACGCGCGCGCAATGGCACTTCAGCGAATGATACTGCGCGCTCATTCTGCCATGTATCTCGTCGCTCGACTCCACGTTGCCGCGGAAACGCGTCGGGTAAATCCAGCGCCAGAGTTCGTACGGCGTCTGTCCCTGTGCGTCTACCACGTCGACGTGTGCACCGTGGTTGAACAGCAGCGCGTGCACTATCTGCACGCACCCCTCCCTCCCTCGCTCGTAAACATCGCCTTTGCATGCAAGCATCACCCTACAGAAGCTGTGCAGCGGGGTGTCGCCCTTGCTGTCGCGCGTGTTAACCTGTAGAAGTACGCCGGCGGACTCGCACGTCTGTAGGAGAGCTGATGCCGCCTCTACTCCTCGCTCATTCATTCTGATGCTTCTAACCTCCGCCTGGCTGCCTATTATGGCGAGCGGCGTCCTCTTGTTACAATCGACGAGGTTCGGGTCAGCTCCGTGTTTCAAGAGAAGAGTAATCATCTGTGTGAACGAAAGAAACGAGGATCATTAACAACCCGATTTTAGGTTCATTCCTTAAAGAACAAGTTTCTTCGAGCATACTACTTTTATTACTGTTGCCGATTACTAACTATTACTATTATTCAATTATTAACTATTAACCGATTACTATTACTGATTACCTTTATTATCTAGACAAAAATACATTGGAACATCGCTAAAATTGTCTCCGTCGTTCACAACGTACGCCCACATTTTTCCCTCGGTCCCGAGTAGATTGCAGGAGTAGTGTAATGCGGTGAAACTATTTAACATATTTATTATTAACTCTTAACCGATTACTATTACTGATTACCTTTACCATCTATAAGAAAATACATTAGGACATTGCTAAAATTCGGTCTCAATCATTCGCAACGTACGCCCGTAGTTTTACCTCGGTATGAAGTTGATCACAGGAGTAGTGTAACGCGGTGAAACTCCCCCTTTCTTCCGTCTCGGCGACGTTGGGGTCGGCGCCGGCCTCCAGTAGCAGGCGCACGATGTCCAGCTGGCCAAGGTAAGCTGCGTGGTGCAGGGAGGTCTCTCCGTGCGAGTCCGCGGCGTTGGCGTTGGCGCCGTGTGATAGCAGCATCTGCACTGCCGCCTCCTCGCACTCCCTCATCACCTTCATCAGCGGCGTCTTCCCGCTCTGTGTCTCGGCGACGTTGGGATCTGCGCCGGCCTCCAGTAGCAGGAGCATGATGTGCAGCTGGCCATAGTGAGCCGCGTGGTGCAGGGAGGTCTCTCCGTACGAGTCCGCGGCGTTGGCGTCGGCGCCGTGTGAGAGCAGCATCTGCACCACCGCCTCCTTGCCCTTCCGCGCCGCCTCCATCAGCGGCGTCTTCCCGTTCTCCGTCTCGGCGACGTTGGGATCTGCACCGGCCTCCAGTAGCAGGAGCATGGTGTCCAGCTGGCCATAGTGAGCCGCGTGGCGCAGGGAGGTCTGTCCGCAACAGTTCGCGGCGTTGGCGTCGGCGCCGTGTGAGAGCAGCATCCGCACCACCGCCTCCGCGCCCTCCCACGCCGCCCACATCAGCGGCGTCACCCTGATATCCGTCGCGGCGACGTTGGGGTCTGCGCCGGCCTCCAGTAGCAGTCGCACGATGTCCAGCTGGCCAGAGCGAGCCGCGTGGTGCAGGGAGGTCTCTCCGTACGAGTTCGCGGCGTTGGCGTCGGCGCCGTGTGAGAGCAGCATCTGCACCACCGCCTCCTTGCCCTCCCACGCCGCCTCCATCAGCGGCGTCTTCCCGTTCTCCGTCTCGGTGACGTTGGGGTCGGCGCCGGCCTCCAGTAGCAGGCGCACGAGGTCCAGCTGGCCAGAGTAAGCCGCGCAGTACAGGGAGGTCTGTCCGTGCGAGTCCGCGGCGTTGGCGTCGGCGCCGTGTGAGAGCAGCATCTGCACCATCGCCTCGTCGTTCTTCCACGCCGCCCACACCAGCAACGTCTCCAGGCTATTCGTCTCGGTGACGTTGGGGTCGGCGCCGGCCTCCAGTAGCAGGCGCATGATGTCCAGCCGGCCATCGACAGCCGCGTAGAACAGGGAGGTCTGTCCGTGCGAGTTCGCGCCGTTGGCGTCGGCGCCGTGTGAGAGCAGCATCCGCACCACCGCCTCCGCGCCCTCCCACGCCGCCCACATCAGCGGCGTCACCCTGATATCCGTCTCGGCGACGTTGGGGTCGGCGCCGGCCTCCAGTAGCAGTCGCACGATGTCCAGCTGGCCAGAGCAAGCCGCGTGGTGCAGGGAGGGCTCTCCGTACGAGTTCGCGGCGTTGGCGTCGGCGCCGTGTGAGAGCAGCATCTGCGCCGCCGCCTCCGCGCCCTCCCTCACTGCCATCATCAGCGGCGTCACCCTGATATACGTCTCGGCGACGTTGGGGTCTGCGCCGGCCTCCAGTAGCAGGCGCATGATGTCCAGCTGGCCAAAGTAAGCCGCGCAGTACAGGGAGGTCTCTCCGTACGAGTTCGCGGCGTTGGCGTCGGCGCCGTGTGAGAGCAGCATCTGCGCCGCCGCCACCGCGCCCACCATCACCGCCTTCATCAGCGGTGTCATCCTGGTCTTCGTCTCGGTGACGTTGGGGTCGGCGCCGGCCTCCAGTAGCAGGCGCATGATGTCCAGCCGGCCATCGCCAGCCGAGTAGAACAGGGAGGTCTGTCCGTGCGAGTTCGCGGCGTTGGCGTCGGCGCCGTGTGAGAGCAGCATCTGCACCGCCGCCTCATCGCCCTCCCACGCCGCCCACATCAGCGGCGTCTCCCCGCTATTCGTCTTGCTGGCGTTGGGGTCGGCACCGGCCTCCAGTAGCAGGCGCACGATGTCCAGCTGGCCAGAGCAAGCCGGTGACAGGACCCGCGCGTTCCCGCCGGCCACGGCTGCGTGCAGCATCGTTCCGTCGCCACGGTAACGCGAGCGGAGGTCCGCTCCATTGTCTAGCAGCGTGGCTGCAACATCCACGCTGGCTGTTTCGCAGGCGAGCATGAGAGGCGTTCGCTCGCGCTCATCCTCCTCTTGCAGGGGCGCGTCATGCAGCAGCAGCTGTTTCACAATCTCCATCTTCTCTTCCGTCCTGTCCCACGAAAGTGCGCAGGCGACGTGGAGAGGCGTCTCCATGCGTACGTTCACGCACGATGTTTTCGCTCCACCTCGCAGAAGTTCTAACACTTTCTCAACGTCCCCACTTGAACAGGCAGCATGCAGGTCTGACATTCTTCTCTCAACTGTAGGCACGCACTGTGCGTCTTTATGTTGCGCGAGGGTCCAGTGCAGTTCACCTACCTAAAATGCGCACTGATGTTCACGAAGGCATGTAGAGTTGATTGCGATGTTAATATAGTGCATGATCGAAATCACATCAATAGTGTGAAATCGAAATCAGATTTGTTCTCCACGTATTCACATTTTCTGTAATGCAGTGTCCAACAGATCGCTGAAAAAGCTTATTTTCCTAATAGCACAAAAGCTAAAGTCCAAAGCCAGGGAGCAGATCGGAAAGGGGACAAATAAAGTGATTAAGCCTGGAGAATTGCCAAAGCATGGACACATCCACTTAAATATGCATGGGGACCACCGCTTCCCAATGCTCCACCAGCTTTGCCAAGTGCAACGTGCAACTCGGTAGCTAAACCTGCGCTGAAGCGTAAAGGTGGTAAGACAAAAATTAACCAGTGCAGTCCTGAACTGTTTTAAACGGAATAGTGGAATAGGAGAAAGTGTAGAAAACAACTTGGTTAAAGAACTAGCAAGAAGTGGTGTATCCATATGGAATCTAATTCTGAGATATTATTCATTTAGTGTAGGTGCTTAGATCTAACATTAAGTGAGACAGGACAGTACAGTAGATGGGTAAAGATAAATACTAAAATAGTAAAGCCACTAACGGTGTTTAGTTGGTGTAAGGACACCAGTTCCACGTGTCAGCTAGTTACCACCTAATACTTATTTTCATTTATGTATTCAGACGCTGAAGCCTGCATGGCTAGATAACAGTCTATGCTGCAAGTAAAACTTATACTTAAAAAATGCTTATTCTTCTTCTAGCCATTTCATTTACATTTTCATGTTATTAGCTATCGTAATTATAGTGACAGTTTATCGTTTGCTCCGTAACCATGCAGCAAACACTCACTATAGGAGTGTTTCACGTGACGTCATAGATCAGGTCACGTGTGTTTGTTATGTGTCATGGTTGGCAGAAGCGAAGCGTGTTGCTTATGATTGACATTTACAGATGAATGACCACATGTTCTGATAGAAAGCGCTGTTTATGTAGTGCACGTACACGTGCGTGCTGCGTGCGTGCGTGTGCTGTAACGTCTTTTGCACGTGTTGTTTGGTGACCAGATAGTCTGCGCGAGGCAGCGTCGCGC